TAAATAAATAAGAGTATATTTAAGTGCTTTAATCGTATTTGCGGTTTGAGGTAAGAAAAATTTTAGCTTAGAATATTTTTTGTAAATAATTATACCAAAGTCTCCCACGAAAATATTAACCTAATGCTTCGTTGTTATGGTTTCCAAGTATCTTATTTAAAATTAAGCTTATAGTATATTACATATACACTCGTACTTTGGAGTGAAAGGTACTGCAGAAATTTCTGTTATTTTTTTTTATCATTATTTCTTTATTACTTTAAGTCAAAACAGTGTAAAATGTCTATCAACGGAATTTGCGAAAAAAAAAAATTAATTGAATTTGAAAACATGAAAGGAAATGAGATAAAATTTCATATATATCACCTAAGGCACTTAGAAGCAATAAAAGAGCAAAATATTTTAATTTCTGGAAATGTGAAACGAAACCAACAAAAAAAAATCAAATTAAAATAAGAATAATAAGTAAATAAAAGCGATGAATAAAATTACAGCAAAGAAAAGTTTCTTATCTAATATCGACATTCTTTGAATTTCGGAAACTTGTAATGATGTCGTCCAATGATTATGCCACGTCGATATATTATATTTCAAAGAAGGTAAATATTTCAAATTTGTTTTTCTCTTAGTATTTTGATGCTAAATGGATTAATGGTAAAATAATTGCGTAGTAGACCTTTACAAGTGACATTGTTTTATTGTATTATAAAAATTAAGATTTAGTTGTGATTGACATCACTTTAGAATAAATTCTTCGAAGCGGTTATTTTTATAAAATGAGAATATAAATATGTGTTATTGCAATGTTTAAACAAGAAATATCAAGTTATTTATTTGTGAAAGAGCTAGTCTTAAACAAGATTAAGTGAAACAATGCAACTTGTATTAAAGTTGCCTCAAAAGTCTCTTGATATTTATTACATCAGAATATCAATTTTGAATTACTAAGTCTTATAATGATCACTTGCTCACAGATTACGGAATTTTAAAGTATAAGAATAGATCTCTAGGTCGGAAATTCCTCCAACATAATCAACTAACTGACATGGTATAAATTTAAATGGAGCAAAAAGTAGGGGTTATAGCTTTATTAAGCCTGATTTAAAGGAAGTGATTTGAAGGCTGATTTAGAATTTTTACAACCAGGGATAGCTGGAAGTCGATATCTATTTTTTATAACCCTAGATATTTTATTTAAACGGATGGAGAGTAATATTGATATAGGTATTTACTGGAAATATTGACAGATATTGCAGTCATTCCTGGTAATTGTAGCGTTTTTCAGATATACAATGCTGATAAATCAACCAGTTAATCATACAAGTTTGTATAATTTGATTTTAGAATATCACTATATTTGTAGCAAGTCAGCCAACACTGAAGGCAATTAAATCCAGAACAGTAAAATCGATTATTGTAATTGTAGAGAATATTGAGCAACGCAAAGTTTCTTTTACTTAAGTTCCTGGGCTTATAAATATTGACGGAGACGAACTAGCAGACGTTATGGCAACAAAAGATTTCGAATATGACATAAGAAACTGAAATCTCAATAAAAATCACGATGTCCGTGTTTAACATTGTAGAGAACTTTGTTATCGTGAAAATCGTATTTTCACTTGTCTGGTTTCGAAAATATCATAGTTTGCATATTTGTAGGAATATTATCAAATTTTGGAACACATATAATGGAAAAGCGTCGACTACATATTTTAAATGTTATCCATATGTTCAGTTATATTTATCTAATGAAAATATATGTGACATTACTCTTAAATTATATAAAATAACCATGACCATGAGTATAAAGAAATATATAATAACACATTAAATAGTATAAAGTTTTTGGGTAAAAAGCAACGTATAAGCCGTAATGCTAAATATTTTTCCTAAATATTCCCAAAATTGTAATAACAAATAGTTCCAGCATATATTTAAAGACAACAAGCACTCATATATGGAATGTGCTAATAATTTTAAACACGGATATACACGTAATCACGGTATAGCAGTACATTTGGAGAAGGGAAAAATGTACAATCAAGCAAAACTCATGTATCCTGTACATTATAAGGAAGAATGTTAACAAAATATTGCTAAAAGCAAAGTAAAATAAAAAGTGCAATTATTTTAAAACCGCAAAAAAGCATCAGACAAAATATTTATAAAATTCATTTTTACATTTTTACAAATGAAAAACTCAATGTTGTTGGCATGAAACAAAGTCGAGATGGAATAATTTGTATGAGTAAAAAAACAGAGCAACGGCAGGAGTGAACGAGGCAAAATTTTTCAAATGGTAAAGCTTTTATGTAAGACAAGAAATAAATGCTACGTGCGCTGGAGCAATTTTTTATGCATTTGTAATTTGGCAGCATTTGTGCACCTTTGTATGGAACGTTATGAGCTACTATGGTATGGTATTCAGCTAATATTGAGGGGGAAGTACACAAAGTGAAATTTCGAGTTCAATAAACTTACAAAATTCTAGTTAAGCTAAAAATTGTTATGAAAAGCAAGTTAAGTACTTTTATGTTGAAGTATAGTAGTTGGGATAATTAAGCAGCAACGAACATTATTCGAACATTATTCCAGTTGACTACACTTAATAAGCAACCATATAACCATATTTAGCATAATTTTAACTTTATTCAAAATAAGAGAGTAATTTTTTTTTTTGTGAAAGGAATGAATAGATTTTGAATTATAATCCGAAAAATAACTTCATTAAAATGTGTACAGATTATTAATGGTTCAAATTTCCATCTGAATAGAATTTAATATAGCACATAATACAAATGATTAATTATTTCATTAATCTTATTAAGAATAATTCAAACTTTAAACATTACTTAAAGTTTTAAAATTAATATTACAAAATAAAGTATAACTTATTAAAAATTTCTAGCAACTACAAAGTTGCGGAAATTAATAACTTCAAAGTATGAAAACATAAATTGTCTAATAAAAGGGCAACATAAATTCTTAGCATATTAAAAACACTTAAAATTTTTGGTAAATTTGGTAAAACTGTTCAAATAATAAAATATTGTGAAACATATTTTCCTTCTGGCTAAGGAAAAATAAAGCAATTTAAACTCAACAATTTCAGCTTCGTTAGTTTTTATTACGCTGAAAAGCGTTGGTCAAAAGCGACTTAATAACATTTTAGATAAAAGCAACATTATTTTATATAAGAAAAGAAAAACAATATTTAAGCGATACTAAAAGTAAAAATAAATTATTAAAAACAAAAGAATCAAAGCGGAAAATATGGATACAGAATTTTCCAGTCGCTTAAAGGACACAAAGCATCAAAAACTTAAATGGCAAAAAACTTTATTAATTAAAAGATGTAACTGCCTTTTAGGGTTTTTGGGTATAAAACTTTTTACCTAGTTTTGGTATTTTTCAAATTAATCTAAATATCTTACTTCCGGTCAAATGAAAAAATACCTTTTCTTAGTTTTCGAGAATAAAGTCGATAATGTGAATTTGATTAAAAAGAAGTTCTGTTATTAGTTTAGGAATTTATTTATTAAAAAAGTTTTACTTATTGACAAAAACCGAAAAAGCAATTAGAACGAAATTTTTATTAGAATATTAAAATAATTATAGAATAAATTATAACAAATTAACCACTAATATCACAAATTTATATTTCTTAAAACTTGCATTTATATAAAGCTTGTTTTTTAAAATATTGTATTTATTATAAAGTACATCAAGTAAAATTTTAAGCGTTATATATACTCTTTACTATAAGTTAACTGTACTTAACAGCAGCGTACAACTATACATATGATAAAACTAGTTGTGATTAACTCTTAGTGAAGAAAACGATGCTTCCATAATACATATATATAGAAGTCAATATGAAATCCGATCAAAAGTGTTGTAAAGAAATATTTACCACTAACAACAGTGTTTAAGTTTAAAAAAAAGAACAATGTGAACTGTTTAGGCATTGATATAATATAAAAAAATTAAACTAAAATTAGTTAAAAAATTAACTGATTTAACATAGTATAGTACATGGAGATAACAGCGGTTACTGTCACTCGCCTGTTACAGGTATACCCATTGCTCATCCTCCATGTGCTTCTGTATGGTGCAGAAGCATGGACGTTATCACAGAATGATGAAGCAGCACTGTGAATGTTCGAGAGAAAAGTTCTTCGTAAGATCATTGGTCCTCTACGAGTTGGCGACGACTACCGCATTAGAATGAACCACGAGCTGTACAAGCCATTGATATAATTAAGCGCATTAACATCCATGCTCCGGCGAAAAAGGTGTTTGAAGCAGTAGTTGGCGGAAGAAGACGTAGAGTTAGACCGTGTCTCCGGTGGAGTGATCAAGTTGAGGGAGCACTAACTGGACTTGATATACGAGACTGGAGAAGGCGCGCACGCAGCAGAGGCGCCTGGGTAGACATGCAGCGTCAAGCCGAAACTCGGTAACGGGTTGTTATTGGCAAATAAATAAGTAAGTAATACATATATACATATATGTTGCGGTATTTTTGGTTCTTAAAACATGTTTTCAGTTTAGAACAATGCCCATATATAGTGATATATAGTGATTATAGTGAAATTAAATAAAATTATAATTATTAAAAATATTACTGTCAATTTTTAAGGATTACGTCGTTTTATAGCCATAGAAAATTTATCTGTTCATATAAATTTTTATATCACATTAATTGATGATTGATATAGATGTATGTTTGCAATAACAAGAATCCTATTTATAACAATTTTCTGTACTGCACATTTCAAGTATCAATTTTTTTTAAATATTTACAACTGTTTAGTATGTGATAAGATATATCTTAAAATATTTGGTACCTATAAATTTGAAGCTAATTGATAAAAATGCATTTCATTGCTTTTACTTCTATAAAAATTACTTATATATAAAATTATATATAAAATTACTTTAGATAATTGTATTTCTTTATATACATTTTATTTTTTTATAACAAAAGTATCACTTACCTTCTCTTGCTTTTAAGTAGACCGTATTGGCCACAATATTCTCTAATTCCATTAGTTCCAGGTTGGCGGTTTTTTATTGAATCCTTTGGCCCTCTCAAAAATGTATCTCAAATCTCTTTACGAATGGTTTTATATTGTAAAAAGGAATATAGGAATGAGATAAGTATTTATTGCACAGAAGAGAAGAGTTAAATTTTATTATTTAATATCGCTACTGTTGTTTTCTTATTGAAATTAGTCCTCCCACTACCGCTGGTCCTTTTCTTATTGTTGATATTAATTGTTCTTTATGTTGGCCAAACTTTTAAGTAATAATAAATGCGTTAAAATAAAATGCTCTTTTTGCGCCCACTTTAATTTCCGTTTCAACACACTGCCACTATATTGTCAGCAACAGTTTCCGTTTCCTGTTATTTGTCAAAGAAAAATATGTGTGCTTATACGATAATGTGTATTGTTGTGTGTTAATGTCCAGCTAAATGTGCGTAGCTATATATGTGTGTGTTTGTTGCTTTTGTTTATTTATGCCTTAATTTCGCAGAATAATAAATTTGCTTATTTGTATATATGCGCTGGTGCTTATTACGCTCTACTACTACTACTTTTGTTGCTGTTATTGTTGTTATTATTGTTGCTGCTACGGCCGATGCCAGCTTTTTACGTAAAATCCTTGCAAACAACCATGGCGTCATTTAGTTTGTAAACAATAAAAACCACACTTTTGTAATTCTTCTCGTACTTATTTGCTTTTGCCTTCGCGTTTGCGTTTGCGTTTCCCTTTGTCTTTGCCTTTGCCTTTACTTTTATTTGTAGTGCTTAGTTTTTATGCGTAAATTACACTTTAGTACGCTATGGAGCAGTACAGGGTGTGGGTATGTGTGCGGGTGTGGGTGCGTTACGTCTTATGTTTATTGTTTCTGTGTATTTGAGCTATTCTGATTTAGTTCAGTTGAAATTATATTTATTTTTTCTTTATATAAACATTATCTGGCATTATTATTTTTAATTCAAACAACTGCTAAATTTATTTTAAGCATATTTTTGTGGTCGTTTTGTTCTTTTTATTGCTTTAGGTAAGCAAATTGAATAGCTTTTTCAACTGTCAATTTGTTTAGAAGTTTACGCAAAGACTTAAAAGGTTTGTTGTCAAGTGAAATTTTGCGCAAATCACTCTATGTACACTCTATAGGCATTTTCTAGCTCAGATAATAATGACGACTTTCACAATATTAGTTCAACACTGAAACTGGAAAGAGAAATATTTATGAATACAAAATTGATTAGAATAAATATATAAAGTTATTTAAATATAATTAAGAAAGAATATAGTATATATGCAACATAAGGATATATCCATTGTAATCCCATCACGTTTAATGAGACCTACTATTCTATTCCTTTTATTACTGAAGTTTAACATCATAATAAGTTTAACATATTAATATAAAAATCGCAAAAACAAAGAAAAAAATTAATACCTTAAAATAATATAAAAAATAATGTACAACAATATATTTTATAATACTTTATAAAATAATATAAAAAAATAAAAATAATACATAATATGTACATGTATTCTTCTAGTTTTCAAACTAATTTGTTTTGTCTTTTAAAATTGAAATATTAATTAACAATTAAATTGAATAATAAATAAAGAATGAAATAATAATAAAATGCTGTTTTAATAAAATATTTAACTCCGACAAATATGTAGTTCGAATATGTAATTATTTGAAAAATATGAACAACATACTTTATATACATTTATTTAATTGAATTTTAGTGGCCATAATTTTCCAAACCTTAAAAAAATATTAGTGTTTACATAAAAAGGGCAAACATAAACTATTTCTATTGAAGCAATCCTACCTACCTTTCGTCACTAATAGTATATGCAACATTAAACGCATTTGCTGCATCATTAATAATGCGGCAGTCACATTGCCTTAAGACATGTAAATAAGCTCTTTTCTGTTTTTCAAGTATGAAATATCGATTAACTGGGTTGGGTTTGGTGGATTATTAGATTACATAAGTACAGAAACAAACAAAACTAAACATCGGCAGTTGGCATGTTAACAAACAACTAACTCTGGGTATCACATTAACTAAATATGACTGATGAACGCTTTTGACAGATATTAAAAACCACAATACAGAAAAGGGAGGCTTGAAGTACTTTTGTTTTTGAAATCCACACTTGCAGATTTAAAAAAAACAATATCTCAGCTTGTTTACTGGTTTATACTTGTGGTTATCACTTATTGCGGTTATGAGTATGTAAACTAAAATAAAGGAAATTTATGTCTAAAAATTAGTAAAAAGTTATTTTGTAAGACAAAACAAATTAATTTGAGAAATTAGTAAATAATTAACATTTTTGTTATTAATCTTTTACATACTAATTACATTGTCAAATTGACGAGAAAAATAATTAGTTTTTCGTGTTGTTTCTATTTACTTTAATAAATTGTTAAAGTCCCACAAAAAAAATATAACATTTAGCTAATTAGTTATATGTAATTGTTATAAATAAGTAAGTAATATCAAAATAATTTATCCATGTAAGTATAATTCTTATGATATAATTATTTTATATATAATGTTCATATAATTAAAGAAAACCTCGTCACACACGGTAAATTGAATTTGTGGATCTTTAATGTAGTTTATGTCATTTTTGATTAGTAAATCTGAGGTAACTTTTTAAATCGATATACACTTTTATTGTAATTTTTATTTTCGAATAGTAAACCTCCAGCGAAAAGTATAAAACTTTAGATTATTCCATAACACTTTAGATATTTTGACAGAGTATTAAAATTATCCTGAAATTAATAACTATATTATAAGTAAAGTGTGATTTAATTCATATTTATATTTATTTATGAAAAATATAACATATAAATGCCCACTAACACAACTACAAAAATGTTAAATTACTGAATTACGTCCGATGGAGCAACAAAATTTGACAGGTCGAGAGTAATACTAGATTCAAATTCTCCATTCGAAAACTATAAAATAAACATTTGTGTAACTAGATGTATTTAAATCAGTAATATATTTATTCCACAATAGTAAGAATTAGACACCCACATGCCATATGGACAATTATGTAGCTTCAATAAGGTCTGAACCAGTCTTTAGAAGGCTCAGTATGCTTGATTCGCATTCCCTTCGTACATTGTTTTGAAAATTCAGTCTATTGCTCTCTCATTATAATGTATCAAGATTTTCGATTCAATACATTTACTGACTTTTGTTTCACTCTTTCACTATTGCCAATATTCGTTATAGTAATGACGCTGCCATGTAATTATGGAATTATAGAGAAGTAATTATAATTTTAATTACTTTCATATAAACAATAGTTATATTAATATAATTTTATATGCTTTTATAATTTAAATACATTTTATTTAATTTAATGTCCTGACATCAAAAATATGTATTCAAATTTACTAAAAATTTGAGAATTGTGATTTGAATATAATTACATTATGTATATTATGGTTTATAATTTTAAAGCATTTTTTTAAATTCTTTATAGTTACTGTCATGAAAATGAAAGAAAAAAGTTATTTATTTTAAACCCCACATTATTACGAACCACTTTTTTGTTTTTTCAAATAGTGATAATTTGTCAGACTCCTCTTCCGCATTAAAACGTGACGTCCTACATGACCTTAAAAACACTCGTGTGGGAAGCGCATATTAACTTTTCTTAAGCTAAAGTTTACTTTATATTTTATTATTCAGTAATAAATGTCAATATAAAACAAATACTTGGGTATACTAAGGAAAATTTATCTAAAATCAGAATTGTTATTTTTAAATTTGAAAATTACAATTTTTGTCTGTTTCTTAAATTCAGAAAAACAGAAACTTAAATTTAGTTTAGTTGTAAGTTGATAACTCAAACTCAAAAATTTAAAAAAATTATAAACAATGAAATTTTTACCACAAAATCATGTAGACAGATGACGCTTATTTTTTTAACAAAGTTAAACTATTCCCATCATTGTTTCGACTTTTGACAAGTGATTGTTTGATCTTTAAATCGATATTAAATAAAATAAATTATTTAAAGTTGGATTTTATAAAAGGTCATAAAAAAGGAATGACAAGATATGAATATTTATTATTTTTGCGTTTATACACACACTTCTATAATTCGTATATAAAAAGGAGAGAAAAATAATATTGGATAAATAAATATTTACTTATTTCAAGTAAAATATTTTTTAGTAGTTTTTTGATTTGAAATATTTGTTTTAAATCGTTTCAAATTTTAAATAAATCTCATAAAAAAATCAATAAAATATACTGTAATTACAATATGCTTTGGCGACAATATATATATATATATATTAAGTTCAAAATAAACCCATAAATTACGTTTTTCTAAATATTAATTTATTTTATAAATAAATTACTTTTAAATTACATTTTTTAAATTACTGTTTTTTAAATTTATTATTTTGTTATTTTTTATTTATTGTTATTTTTTTAAATTATAAGTAAACATTATTTCAGTTATTTAATTTTAGTTATTTTATTTCATGTCCAATATATTTAAAAGATTTTTTTATGGAAACACTTGATTTAAAGTTTTTAGCCTGCAATACCTATATACTCTTATAAACCTTTTAAAATTAATTTAATTTTCAAATTATTAAATTTTTTATTGTTATTATATATCTACTTTTTCTGATAATAAAACAGCACTCCTAGCACTGCGCTCACCTCGAGTAACCTCAAAACTAGTGTGGGAATGCCTTCTACTTCTCAAAAACCTTGCTGAAAGGAACAGGGTCCACTTATGGATCCCAGGGCACAGCGAATTTGAAGGAAACGAAAAAGCAGATGAACTAACCAGAAAAGCAGCGGCCTCATATTATATTATGCCACAAGCATTCTACGGTTCTTCATGGAGCTTTTTTAAACTAAAAATAAATGAGTGGTTGGAAAGAGCAGCGCTCAGACTGATTGGGATAATACAATTGCCTATTATAGACAAGCTAAAGAATCCATGCCGTATCGATCAAAAGCCAGAACTAGGGAGCTACTTATACTGAACAGAAGAGGCATTCGACTTGTCACATGGGTGTGGAGTTAAAAAACATCTGTCGAACCTAGATATTACCAGAGACGATAGCTGCAGACCTTGGTGCTAGTCTCGCCAGACTCAGACTTTGGTACTTATCGACTGCCAATCCACTTATAACGGAATTAGGCAACATCTCTCTAAAGGATATGATGGCGTTCTTAACTGCTACTTGTCTATGAAACTGAAGTGGGTATGTCATAATAATCCTCAAAGGATGCAGTGTTGTGGTGACAAGTTTCCAACCCATTTTAAAATCTAAACTAATCTAATCTAATTGTAAATATATATCTTAAATACAAAATAAGCTCACAAAATGAATTATAAATAAATTATTTGTCTTTTTTGTTATAATTTAAATATATTTTATTGTTTATTATTTTTAATTTGTATTTTTTTTTATTGTATCCAATATAGTTGAAAAAAGTCTTTATGGAAATGTTTAAATTAAAGTTT